CACAGCAGAGAGCTGGCCTGGAAGAGGGGCAACCGGGACAGAATCCGGTGCCCCGACTGGGACTACAACCCGGTGTGCCGGCGCCGCAAGGCGGAAGATTAGCCTAGTGAGCCACGGCACTGGCCATCGTCACTTCTATAAACACATTTAATACTTTCAAAGCACTAGCTACTGTAATATCTAACACCATAACTAGCACTCACTACTGGCGATGGCTTTACATAAAGTAATCATTTAACTTGCACAATGCACCATTATTGTCCCCACTTTACAGTGGAGGAAGCCCAAGGAGAGAGGTTAAGAACCATGCACAAGGTCACACTGCCAGTCAGCAGCATTGCAACATAACAGTGTTTGGGGGGGGGGGGGGGGCAGTGCTGCGGTGTAGCAGATAAAGCTGACAGCTGCAGTGCCAGCATCCCATATGGGTGCTGGTTCCAGTCCTGTCTGCTCCACTTCCAATCCAGTCCCTGCTAATGCCTGGGAAAGCAAGGGAAGATGGCCCAAGTGCTTGGGCCCCTGCTCCCCCGTGAGACCAGGAAGCAGCTCCTGGCTCCTGGCTTCGGCTTGGCCCAGCCCAACCGCTGCAGCCATTTGGGGACTGAACCAGCGATTGCAGGATCGATCTCTCTCTCTCTCTCTCTCTCTCTCTCTGTCACACTCTGCCTTTCAAATAAAAATAATTCTTTAAAGAAAAAAGAAAGTAAGAAAAAAAATCTGAAATGTTTGATAGTAATAACCCACAGACCTGGGGCTTTCAGTGCTTAATTATTTTATAATTTTTTTCAATGTCAGAAGAAAAAAAACTAAAATTTGAGTTAATCTTCTTTAACAAATAGCTTGATCATACACAATATTTATGTAACAATGCAAAGTAACAAATGCAGGATAGGATATTCTCTCTTAAGAAAACACACTGTAAGATTCATGGTTCAAAAATAGAAGATATTTCCAAACCAGGGGTAAGTAAGAGATTCCTTTAAATGATTCCCAGCTCCCTTTCTCCATGATCAGAATTCAAGGAAGACAATCCAACATACAACTTACAGCTACGAAAAGGCAAATCATTCATTTTAGAAGAGGAGGCTACATTTTTTTATTATTATTAAAGCAAAAGCCAAGGTAGATTTTGCCACTTTAACTTTTTTATATTTGTTCCCATGAGTTTTTTTAATAATAAAACATGAGAACCTAATCCTAATTGTTTGTAGTAGGCCTGACACCATAACACAAGATGCTCTCATCCACACCATCACAGAAACACGTGCCCATCGACAGCTGTGACAGCAGACCATCCATCAGAAAAATTCAGTCATACTGCTGTGCTGTTGAATTTAATTTAGAAAAGACAACCCAGGGCAGTGCTGAAGGAGTTTTTCTCAGTTCTAACGTGCTAACAAAACCACTTTTGTCGGCTCTCTATGGACCAGAGCAGTGGATCAGGCACGAGTCTCCTAACACTCCAGTGTTCCGTACCAACACCTTCCCTCCGTAATCTCTGAGGAGCATCTGCATTTAGGAAGAGCCAGTTTGACTAAGAAGGTCTTAGTCTTCCAGAAGAAACAGTGCAACAGTAAAAAGCAAGGCTCAGCCATGGAGCACGAAACGCAGGACAGGAAGCCACAGAAGGCGCTGGGGAACTGAGGGCTGTGTGGGCTGTGGGATTCCTCACAGCACATCAAGGAGCCCATGCTGGCCTGACAGGAAACCAGAGCTGCATTTTAAGTAAGGGGACAGCACGGTTACATCTGCATCTTCCCAAGACTACTACAAGATGGATTTTTAAGGGTCAAAACTGGAAGTGAGGATGTAACAATACAGATGGGTGACAACAAATCTATATTTAAGCAATATGAAGACTTCAAAAAGTTCAAGAGAAATGAAACAAAAATATTGACATTTCATTTCTTGACATAAGCTCCATCAAATTCAGGGCACTGTTGTAAACAATTAGATGACATCTGGCCCACCCCTGGAGCACTGAGGTCCTGGGACTGTCCCGTGCCACTGTGGTCTCTTAACATCACTACCTAAAGGAAAACGGTGCCCTTTAACGATTTCCTAAGATTAGGAAACAAATGAACAAAGAAATGAAGTCAGGTGGCGGCCCAGGGATCTCCACCGAAGCTCAGGAAGGGAAGTGGCCTGCGAGAGCAGTGAGCGAGCAGGAGCACGTGGCGCGCGCTGCAGGACGGCGCTCCTGGGAGTCCCCAGTGTCTGCTTTGGCTGACCTTGCCTTGGCAGGCAGGGAAGGCAACAAACTGCTGCCATGAACTCTGCTCGCGAATGACCTGCTGAGGCCCCGCCGGGCCCACTTCCACCTCTCGGCAGCCGCAGACTGCACTGGCACAGCCCTGTTTCAGCTCCTGCTAAGATTCTTAGAAGAAACGCTTCAGGATCATGATCCCAGTCGTTTAAAATTTCCTTTCAAAGCTCTGGGCACCACATGCACAAGCTGAACCAGCTGAGACGTCCATGTGTTGGCTGTTCTTTTTGCTGTTCACCACTGGACCCCTCAACCAGGGCACAGACACGATCAGTATCTTCCTTGCAAACTGATGTGGACGGTCCACCACCACACACGGGCATTCGGCATCTTCCTGTCCCTTCTCAAAACAAGCAGGGAGGGGAACGGCCAGTCTGCAGGCCATACGAGGCCCACAAAATCACTGGTCTGGCACTGCCCAGACAACCACGGGCAGGACTTGAAATCTGATACATCTACTGCAGGCTAATTTTTAAGTTGAAAATTTTGTGAGGTCCGTGAATGATGCTATAAATATCCAAATGAGAAGAAATGCCCCCACCGCTGCCACACTTTTCATAAAGCAACAATGATTTCACCATTCCTCCACCTGAATTTCATCGGAAATCTGAAGTCTGTTCTTGTTCCAATTTGAGCAGAATTCATGTTGCTCTGATAGGGGCTCTTTTTCTCTTTTTTAAAAACAAAGTTTTATTTATTTATTTATTTATTTACATTTTTAATCTGAAAGGCAGAGAGAGCGCACGAGAGCCAGCGAGCACACGGGCATCTTCCTCCATCTTCCATCTGCCGGTTCACTCCCCCAGATGCCCACAACAGCCAGGGCTAGGCCAAGCTGAAGCCAAGAGCTCCGAACTCAATCCAGGTCTCCCACCTGGGTGGCAGGGAACCAAGCACTTGAGCCACCCCTGCTGCTCTCCAGCGTGCGCACATCAGCAGGAAGCTGGAACCTAAGCAGAGCCTAGGACTGAAATCAGGCACCCCTAGCTGGGAGGGGTCCACAGCAGTGTTAACCGCTGCACCAACGCATCACCAGCGGTTCTCTGTTCTCTTCACACTGAGGTCTTACCATTCTAAGTGCCACACCCCAGACCTCGTGCAAACGGGTGCTACCAGGTCAGTGTGAGTTTACTTTGGTGCAAAAATTTTTAGACTCATGCACAGTTTTTTTCATAATATGCACTTCCCATGAACTCTATCTGGAAGCAGAGGAAGGGGAGATGCAGCAGAGGGAAGCTTCGAGGTCACTCCCGGTTGTCAGCTTGGACAGCAGGCCGATGAGAAGGTGGAGGGATGTACGCAGATGAGACGAGTGCCAAGAACAGACACCAGCAGGCAGGTCACACAGAAGAACCAGGGGATCCCTCCGAGTCAGGAAGCAGTGTGGGACACAGACACCTTGGCGACCACCAAATCACTGCCATCTGGCATTCTTTCCTCTGTGCTTCGTGGGACGCCTGCTGTGGGTCCATGGGGTTAAGACAACACATCAAGGTGGGGTAAAAGACCCCAGGTTTGGGCCAGCACTGTAGCACGGTGGGTGAAGCTAGCACCTGCAACTGTGGCATCCCACAGGGACGCAGGTTCACCCCACCTGGGAAAGCAGCAGAGAATGGCCCAAGTCCTTGGGCCCTTGTACCCATGAAGAGGCTCCTAGCTCCAGCCTGGCCCAGCTATCTGGGGAGTGAACCAGGGGATGGAGCTTCTCTCTGTCTCTCTCCCCCGTCTCCTTCACACCCCCCCCAACTCTGCCTTTCAAATAAATAAAATAAATCTTAAAAAAAAAAAAAGCCAGTAATGGTAAACAAGGAAGAACAAACTGTTCGAATGTCATGAAGAGCACTCTTATTGTGAAAAGAAACTAAAATCAGAGGTAGATAGATTCCATGAATTGGGTTAAGATGTCCCTCCCTCCCTTCTTTCTTTCCACTTCTCTAAACATCAGTTCTCCTTACATTTTTATTATTTAACAAGTGCTTCTTAAAAACTGGACCCGATGGTACATCAAGCCAACTATAAATCATGCCAACAGACTCTGGACCCTTACTGCTCGCCAGGCCCTGCTCCCATGCCTTCCTGGGATGAGACCCCTGGCCCTCCCAGGAAGCAGCAATGCCCGCATCTTACTGAGGAGGCGAGGGAGCACAAGGCCACACAGCTGGAGGCAGCAGCGTGCACCCTCGCTCCAGAGGCGGCCACAAAAGCAGGCCTTCCGAAACAGCTGCCACGGCACGGGCGAGGGCAACTCCTGCGCGCCGTGAAAGGCGGCAGCCCTGGCATCAAGCATGTTCGGAGCTGTCAGCACACGCCCACACACCTGGAAGGCTGGGCGGCACCCACACTCATGTGTGCAGCTGAGTCGATGAGCCCTGCACACCAGTGCATCTGACCATGCACAGACCCAAAACACAACTCTGGCACCAGAAGACACCTGGTCATAAATGTCCAAAGCTTCATGCATAAACATACAAATTTTTTAAATTTACTTCATTAAAGAATATTTTAAATTCCCTTGGCCACAAGATATAAATGCGGATAACAAGGTAAACATGACAAAGTTCTCATGAAGTCATACAGGTTAACAAATCCTTAGCATGCCCTTCCCCAATCTTGGCCAAAATCAAATACTCAGACAGTCTGATTCTGCGATTAGTGTTCACACAATACGAATACTTTCAATATACATCTCTAAAAGGAAAAAAAAAGGACAAATCCCTTGTGATTTGTATCCTACCTAATAGTACTCGATTTCAGACGCTCCTCTGATTTCAAGTTTTCGGTCCTCATCTGGGACTTACATGAAACGTTTTCTCCCACAATGACTATCTGCCAGAACATCCAATCTCTCACAAGGTAGAATGCTTTAAGACACTCTAGACAGAGGAGAGGAGGAAAACAGGCGTTAACGCACATAAAATAGTATTTCTCTTTATTTGAAATGACAATGTGACAGAAAGGCAAAGCCAAAATATCAAAGCCCTTTTCCTTTTTATAAGCAGTTTCTTAGAATACACAGTTTAGACATGTGTTCCATGTATTTCTAGAACATTTTAGTTTTAGACTAAAGCGTTATGGGTGATACCTACAGGCTGGGCCCCCGCAGGGGCCTGCAGGACAGGGAGGGAAAGCCCTGGACCACGGAGGCAGACGCACTCCTGACCGAAGGGAAAGCCTGGATAGCCATTAACCCACAGTCGCGGGTGGTGAGGTAACGCTTACATTCTACGGGCGAGAATGCCAGGTTTCTACATCTGCTCTCACTGAACGCTACTGCTCATCTCTATATGCTCAACGTACAGTGCACGGGGCTGTGTGTACCAGGGGAACAGCAGACATGGTCCCTGCCAGGGATTTAAACTCTGGCGTAGACAGACAGCAAGAGAGGCAACGGAAGGCAGTCTCGTGTCGCGCACCGTCTGCGTTCAGCAATGACTAAGTTGAGGCACGGGAAAAGCCGCACAAGTTCTTGGGGACTTCAATTTAATTCAAAGATTTGGGCAAAGTAAGTTAAGTATTGTTGGCTGCTGATCACTGGGGTTACTGTAATTCACACTGCTCACGTTTTTATGTGCAGAGACCGTGCTAAATGCTGTTTGTTGTGCAGCGTCCCAGGATGGGAGCACCGTCCAGTGAAGTCAGGTACCATGCGGCCACTTGTAAAGCCAAGTGACCTCTCCACACCCACTCTGTCAGACGATGGAGAGAACAGAAGCACCTACCTCACTGAGATGTTTGAGGATTAAATGAAGTAACGCAAGTCATTAGGAGTGCTCCTAGGCAAGTAAGCCCTCAGAACGCGTTAGCCATATTGTTATTATCATCATTAACAGTCATTATTCCTCCTCCCAACAATCCAGGATAATTACCCGCATTCTGTAAGTCAGGCAAGAGAAGCCAAGAACTCACACTAATTGGTCCCAGCATAGAAACAAACTTTTTCACAATTGTAAAAATACAACTGGAAAGGAGCATGGTGGCTCCAAAACATGCGTCCCAGTGCTCTTTAGGGTTCCGGCTGGACCTCTGTGGAAAATAACGCGAGAACATACCTCACGACAAAAGCCAAGCTCCTCAGCTTTCCAATCCCATGAACCAAAATGGCTCTTAGTTCCTTGCTGTTTGGCCCCTTAGAGTCTGTACTCCTCTCCTCTTCCTGTCTCTAAAGCCCTTCTCGTAATTTAAAACTCAGCACGTCTGTGAGAGCGCCGTGGCTGGACAAGTCCTCCCAGGAAGCCACGTTACACATCCTCACCTCCAGATATGTACACCCAGTGCCAGCTCACAGGCTGCCAAGACACCTGATTTGGACTAAACAGTTTCTCAATAAATGGCCAATACCCTAAAAATGAAACCTGCTTAAATCTGACAAACAAACTGAAGAAATTTTCACCTGAGGATGAGGAAGAACAAACTTCTTTTGGGGGATCAATTTACTGGAGAGGCAGTGAGACAGGGAGCTCAGCAAACGCCCACAGTGGCAGGAGCGAGGAGAGCCAGTCTCCCGCACGGGTGCCAGAGACTCACCCACTGCAGCTGTTGCCCAAGATGCACATGAGCAGGAAGCGGGAACTGGGAGTGGAGTGGGGACTTAAACTCAGTACTCCAATGTATGGGATTTGTGTATCCCAACTGCTATCTTAACTGCTAGGCCAAATGCACACCCTGATTCAACCCCTCAAAAAAATAACCCATTCTTAACAATAATCACTATAACCTCAAGAAATAAAACACACAGATAATACAAAGTATTTAAAACATGCTTTTAAAGAAAGAATACCTTACAGGCAACAGAGAAGAATAAAAGCAGTTTGTTTTTTTTTTTACTTGACAGAGTGAGAGAGAAAGGTCTTCCTTCCGTTGGTTCACCCCCAAGATGGCCGCTACGGTGGAGCTATGCTGATCTCAAGCCAGGAGCCAGGTGCTTCTCCTGGTCTCCCATGCGGGTGCAGGGCTCAAGCACCTGGGCCATCCTCCACTGCCTTCCCAGGCCACAGCACAGAGCTGGCCTGGAAGACGAGCAACTGGGACAGAACCGGCGCCCATATGGGATGCCAGCACCGCAGGTGGAGGATTAACCAAGTGAGCCACGCGCCGGCCCCAAAGCAGTTTTTAATAAAATGAGCATCTCAATATATAAATGGTCAGAAGGGAGGCTGGCACTGTGGCATAGCAGGCAATGCCGTCACCTGGAAGTGCAGGCGTGCCAGTATAGGTGCTGGTTCAAGTACCATCTGCTCCACTTCTGATCCAGCTCCCTGCTAACGGCCTGGGGAAGCAGGGGAAGATGGCCCAAGGGAATGGCCCCCTGCCACCTGTGTGGGAGACCAGGATGAAGCTCCTGGTTCCCAGCTTTGGCCTGGCCTAACCCTGGCCATTGCAGCCATCCGGAGAGTGAGCAAACAGATGGAAGCTTTCTCTTTTCTCCCTCTCTCGCTTTATCTCTATAACTCTGACTTTCAAATAAGTAAATAAACCTTTCTAAAAAAAAAATAGTGGTGGTTGCAGCACTGAGGCGCAACCAGCTAAAGCCCTGACCTGAAGTGCGGCATCCCACATGAGCACCAGTTCTAATCCTGGCTGCTCCTCTTCCGATCCAGCTCTCTGCTGTGGCCAGGAAAAGCAGAAGATGGTCCAAGTCTTTGGCCCCTGCACCTGCCTGGGAGATCCTGAAGAAGCTCCTGGTTCCTAGCTTAGGATCGGCTCAGCTCCGGCCGCTGTGGCCATTTGGGGAGTGAACCAATGCATGGAAGACTCCCTCTCTCTCCCCTCACCTCTCTATAATTCTGCCTTTTCAAATAAATAAAACAAATATTTTTTTAAAAAAGCGAAAATTTGTAAACATTATAAAAAAAAAAGAAAAAAGAAAGAAATGAATAATCAAGCCATTAAGAGACCAGGGGAAACTTTAAATGAGTGTTACTCAGTGAAAGAAGCCAATCTGAAATGGCCACACACTGGATGATTCCAGCTATCAAGACACCGGAGAGCCAGAACTATGCAGACAGAAGAGATCCCACTGCCTTCCCAGGCGCATCAGCAGGGAGCTAATCGTAAGTGGAGCAGCCGAGACTGGAACCAGCACCCATATAGGTGCTGGCGCTGCAGGTGGCGGTTTTACCCACTATGCCACAGCGCCAGCCCCGATATATCAAACTGAAAATGCATTTAGCAAGGGCAGTTTTGTGGTACAGTGGGTTAAGCTGCAGCCTGGGGCACCCACGTGCCGTATCAGAGTGCCTGGGATTGAGTCCCACCTCCCTTCCCATCCACTCTGCTGCTAATCCACACCCTGGGAGGCAGCAGCCGATGGCAAGTCCTTGGGTGGCTGCCACTCCCGTGGGAGACTCAGCTGAAGCTCCTGGCTGCTGGCTTCCAGTGGGCCCAGTCCCACATGAGGGCAGTAACCCAGCAAATGGGAAGACTTCTGTCTCTTCCTCCTCTCTGTCACTCTGCCTTTCAAATAAACAAGCTTTAAAAGGAGAGGGACAGGAGCTGACGCTGTGACACAGCGGGTAAAAGCCACCACCGCCATGCAGGTGTCCTATATGGGTGCCAGTTAGAGTCCCGGCTGCTCCACTTCCCATCCAGCTCTCTGCTGTGGCCTGGGAAAGGAGAAGATGGCCCAAGACCCTGGGCCCCTGCACCCACATGGAGACCCAGAAGAAGCTCCTGGCTCCTGGCTTCGGATTGGTGCAGCTCTGGCCACTGTGGCCAATTGGGGAGTGAACCAGTGGATGGAAGACCTCTCTGTCTCTCTGCCTTTCCTTGTCTGTGTAACTCTGACTTTCAAAATAAGTAAATCTTTAAAAAAAAAATAAAGAAAGAAAAGGAGAACAGCAGCACAGCTGCCACGTGGAATGCCAGCATCCCACACTGGAGTCCTAGCTGCTCTGCTTCCAGTCCAGACCCTGCCAGAGGCCCAAGTACTGGACCTCTGCCACCCACTTGGGAGATCTGATGGGCTGTCCAGGCTCCTTGCGGCCATTTGGGGAGTGAAACCAACAAGTGAGAAATCTCGATCTCTCTCTCTCCCCTTCTTTGTCACTCTGCCTTTCAAATAAATAAGTAAATCTTAAAAACAAAACCCAAAAACCACATGAACACTCCTAACCTACCTAAAGCCCAGCAACAGCTCCATGGGGAGCTGGCGGCTGCTTCCCCTTGCAAGCAGGTACAGGGGGTTGTGCCTGCTGCTGCCGGCCAGCAGCGGAGACAGGACTGGACCACACAGCGCCAGCTCGCCAAGAGATCCACATGCGACATTCCAAGGACGGTTTCCACAGGATGCAGGTGATCAAGAGGGAGACTGTGAGTGCTGCACGGCACGATGATGCTGGTGGACTCATGTCGACACACCTGCGCAAACCTATGCAACCTGCAACACCGAGAACCCCAATGGAACTATGGCCTCTGGGTGATGACCGTGTCGGTGTGGGTTCAACAACTAACCAATGTGCCACTGGAAGGGGGTGCTGGCAATGAAGAGGACTATGCATTTGCTGTGGCAAGGGGTACACTGAAACTTCTTCACCTTCATCTCAATTTTGTTGTGCACCTACAACTGCTCTGAAAAAATTTTAGAAAAAAAAAATGTAAGTAAATAACAAAAGAAAAAAATGGGGTGGGGAGTTGTTAACAGCTTACGGCAAATTACAGGGCAGAAAAAATAGATTAAAAAATGACTGAATGGGCAGGTGCCGCGGCTCAATAGGCTAATCCTCCACCTAGCGGCGCCAGCACACGGGGTTCTAGTCCCGGTCGGGGCTCCGGATTCTGTCCCGGTTGCCCCTCTTCCAGGCCAGCTCTCTGCTGTGGCCCGGGAGTGCAGTGGAGGATGGCCCAGGTCCTTGGGCCCTGCACCCCATGGGAGACC